ATTTACTAGGGTATACCGGGTATGGTATTCCATGGTATTCCCAGTTTGTGGATTATGAACATTTATGAGCATCTATGGATGATAATGCTTTGCAACAGCTACCCGTTTTTATGGTTGATAATTTCGGAGGGTCAGTTGGGAGAGATGCGGTCCTGCCCTGACGCGTATGTCCTTGGTTAAGAGGTCTTAAGTTTTTGCCACACCGGCACTGATCATCACCAGCACCAGCCCAGAAAAGCAGGGTCTGGCCAGGGTTGGAATGTCTATATAAGTTGGAGTTGGGCAAGGCATAGCAACGGAAAACCGAAGACGCGGCCAAACAACTTTGAACCCAAGTCACATCTCTGGATAAACCATGATATACCTATGTGTTTCATGGTCGATGGTACTGTATCATCCATTTAATCGGAATCCTTGGGCTATAGATTTCCCTATGGATTGATTACCATCCCCCAATATGGGTATGACTGGAGCAGCTGGAGCATGCGGACAACGTGAGTACACATCCACTCCAACTTTTGACCATGGCACACACACACATATGTATATAGATATGTAGATAGATATAGAAATATAGAAATATAGAAATATAGAAATATAGAAATATAGAAATAGATATAGATACAGGTGAATCATTGGTGAACGCCATGATTCTTAGCCATTTTCGTGGATGATGTTTTCATGTCCCACCGAAGATGGAACGCTTAGACATGTGTGATGTCAACACAGGATTACTAGACTCAAGACTCCCAATTAATTATATAACTAGCGCAACATTGAAAAAAAACAGCAATTTCTACGTAGCACCCCCCCGGACACCAGGATTTCATTCATCCTGGGTTGACACTAAGTAAGGTCTGCCATGGTCTTGGATCATCAGATACACCATTTACCAAGCTCCTCAGCATGGGTGCACGACAGCATCCATGAAACAGACTCTGCAGGAGATCTAAATTTAAGACCCTTTACTTTGACAATTCTTTTTGACATGTTAGTCGGGGGTTTAGTTTATCGTTGACCAAGCCCAATATGTCAGGGCGGTTTCCGGGATGGATGGTGGCGAATCTCCCCTGGTCAGCCCCAAAACGTGGTGATTTACAAAGGCTGAGTCGCCTTTGAAAGGCGACTGGCACCTAGTCGATGGCCGCAGCCGAAGGCGACTGGGTTCCGTGGCCAACTCGAGACTATTGGCGCGTGGTGAAAAGGGCTGATGCGCTCATCACTGACCCAAAAACATGTCCGTAAATCTTGGTTCTTTTATGGAGCTCGATTTTTTGGGTGGTGGGTCAATTTTTGGATGTAGGATAAATATTCAATGACATATTCTTAGGCACCAGTTGGATCAGCCATGGTATGTTGGTGGATCGGCAGTGCCCTTTTTGTCGTCCCAAGCTGAACGAAAATCGATGTCCCAAGTGACAATTACCGATGTCCAGCTTGCAGTACGTATGGGTTACTGAATTAATTTGATGTACTTGGATGTGAATTTGTGAATGGTAAGCGATTTACAACCTATTTACAACTAATGTCTAGTATCTAGCTGCTGGGGTATACTCATATCATACATATTATATATGCATGTATGTATATATATATACACATGTTTGTCTGGATGATTTAAAATGACCTCACAGTGCGGGGAATCATCCTGAAATGACCAGAAGTTTATGATATGTTCACGTTAGCGAATTACTTTACTTCAGCCATGTATATAATAATGCTGAAGTAGGTGCATATATTATATATAATTATTGTAAGTATATCTAATTATATATATAATTACATATATCAATTTTGCTAATGTTTTTGGACATTTCCATATTGGGCTGGTTATCCCCTTAAACTCCACTGCTCAATCATATTCCCCTATTATTCCTTAGATGGTGATATTAGGATATGATTTGTGGGATTATATGAACATGTATTACCATTATTTTGCGATATTTTTGGGGTAACCCCATATTTTAGACACACGCATATCAACCTTTGAGACTTCACCCTTTCAGCCGACCCACTTCCGTTTGGCGAAGGGCCGAATCAGCCCTGCGATGGTGCGAGAATGGCCTACATATTTTAGGTGCCTTTCACCGGCGGAAGTTGGGGGATGGGTCAAGACCTGTGACTTGCAGTGATTTCCATACAAATGATACGAATGGGGAGATCACAAAGTGTCACAGTCAAAAGTCAAAAGTTAAATTGTATATTCATTTTTTTTGGAATGGTGATCAATTTCATCAATCTATTAATAGTGATTTGAATACAGGATTCCCAATTTTCGGGATGGATGACGATAAACCACATGCACATCTTCTACGGCATTGAAGCGGAACGTGAATCCATGGGAGCCGCTCAAAATTTTGGAGACGGCCTTCTGGGAATTTTTTGGATGTGGAAATATGTATTACCCTCTGGTAAACATACAAAAAACTATGGAAAATCACCATGCTATTAATGGGAAAATCCACTGTTTCTATGGTCATTTTCAATAGCTATGTTAAATTACCAGAGGGTAACATGTATATGTCCATCTATGTCCATCTATGAACATGAAGATCTATCAGAGAATGTGCGAACATGTGGTGTCCCCCTCTTCCATACAGATTTTTTTTTGGCGCCGCAAAGCCGCACACCAGCCCTGCATGATGTTCATTGAAGTTGGTTTCAGAAACACATCCAAGAAACGGTAGTAATTGGTGGTTGGTAGGTGATCTTTTCCATGAAAGATGATCCGATTGATCCCAAAACGGCCGTTCCGAAGCGTCCTCTTGAGGGCCAGCAGATCAAACAACGGCCGCGGGGCCTCATTTTGGCGATGGAAAATGCGCTGCGTTTGGCTTGTTTTGTCAATTACCCTCTGGTAAATCAAAGGTGGCAATGGAAAATCCCCCGAGGTTCCGATGGGAACATCCATAAATGATGGTTTTCCATTGCCATGTGAATGATTTCCGGAGGGCACACTTGTTGTACATCATGTATGCTCGGATGTCAATCTTTTAGGCAACAAGAATTGGGGGGTAGCGGGCTTGGAAGCACTGCAATATGGGTGTTTGTGGAAATGGTTATTTGAATAACCAAAGGAACCATTTCATTTGTTTTCATCTTCATATGTTATGATGGAAGTCTGAGGCTAGCCCCTCATACAAATAAGGTGTATGAATCCCAACCTAGGGGACACTAGCAAAACCGCTATTTATTATTTGTTATTAGTGGCAGGGGCACTTCTTGATTTCCATGATATTCCCGGGAATCTATCCATATCTATGACAGGCCAATGATCCATCTATGGAACCTACCCATCTATCATCACCGCAGCAAGTCAGGTTCCAGCCATGACCTATGGTTAGACCAAGCCTAAGAAGCCTAAGAAGATGAAAGTTACTGACGTGTTGCCCGACATTAGGCGTGTTTGACCATGGATTTTCGACAAGATCGTCATGGCAGCTTGAACCAAGAGAATGACATAGAATGACTAGCCGAGACACAGGACGCTGTCAACTACTGAGCCTGTGGGTTATTTGCTCTACTTTGTTTTCACCTATCAAAATAATACGGCCGACCTTATGCAACATCGAGCAAGTTGGTATCCACGTCAGTGCACTCAAAAGCACACCATTCAAAGCACATCGAGGTACTGCCGGTCATCCCCAACAGCACTGCAGCATCGCCATGGCCTTCCGCCGCCTCGGCTTACCTTTGGCGGGTCTTGAGCCCGCCCGGCGCCCCAAAGTTGGCTCGGCGCCCGCCAAAGAGCGGGCAGAGAGGGCCGCGCAGGACCCACAGGAGCCCAAGGCACGGGTGACGCTTGCGGTGCCCGCCACAGGCGCGGCGCGGAGGAGTTTGCCAAAGTTTGTCTGTTTTTTGAAGTGTGGCGAATGTTTGGTTCAAAAATGGCGAATCTGAAGCTTAGGAAACAAATCAGGGATCTCAGCTGCCTCACTCAGAATGGAAAGTGAATAAATCTAAATGATGATCATGGGGATCTCACGTATAAATGGACATGTATCCCCAGCTCAGGGTTGAAACCCTAGCAGATCATTTTGACTACCACCCCCATCCAGTGTTTTGAGAAAGAATGAGAAAGCCGCTTGGAACCCGTCCCCGACCCCTTGAAGATTTGATCATTTTGATCAGTACAATTCAAAACATAGATCATCTATGATCATCTAATGGCACCCTTATGGCACTTAAAAATGTTCTAACTTTGACCCTCCGCATCTTTCGATGGTCCCGGATTGAGGCTTTGAGGCCCACTGGACTCCTTGATCCGATGATTTGATCTCAGAAAATTCCATGCGGCTTCACGCCCGGGTCAAATCGATAGTAAAAGCCTTAGAAAAATCATCAAATCGATAGATTACCCCCATATCATATCCCAAAACCTGAAGATTCTGATGGTATCTGATGGTTTACTCACCATAAATCCAGATAAATCCAACTCGCAGTTGTGATCAGGTGGAACGGTGAAGGCCAAAGAATCCAAGGACAAAGCTCCGAAGACCAAAATCCTGGTGGCTGCTGCGGCCCTGGGAGCGAAGACCAAGCCACTCCTGCGCCCGCGCGCTGATGCTTGGCGCGTTTTGGAACCAAACCATCGGGGAATGGTAAAAATGGACGTTTATGGTAGATATAACGAACCAACTATGGTTACAAATGGTGATTTTCCATGGCTATGTTAAATAATCAGATGGTATATAATGGGGTTTATAATGGCTTATAAACCGTTATGTCCATTACAAACCAACTTATAACTGGGGGTCACCATGCTGTGGGAATCAAACCGTACACCTGATTTTGAAGTTTTTTTGTCTCCGAATGGGGAACTAAATGGCTGTAAGTCGTGCACAAGTCAGAAATCGACATCATTCTACCATCATTATACCATCAATCTACCTTAAATCATCCGAACATCGACCAAGAATCATCTACAGTCATGGACATTCATGGACGATAAAATCATGTATGAATCTTTGAAAACAACTCAAAAAAGCAATCCCTTCAACGACACCGTTTTGCAGGAAATTCACTAAGTTCACTAGCATTTCACAATTGCTCTGGAAATCCGGCAATGGACATCTCCCAAGTTAAAACGATGTTCCCAGGTTTGATCATATTCCCCTAAAATGCAATCAACGTCCCATTAAATCCATTTAAATTCCATCAATTCCCATATCATTTCTGTTTATTTCTCCATTCTTATCATGAATTTCCACCAAAACCTCCCATCACCGTAGGACGTGGATGGCTCCGGCGGCTCTGGCCCCGCCCCGGACCCGGTGGCAGCCGCCGCGGCCGCGGCTCCGGCGGCTCCGGGGGCGGCGCTGCGGGGGCGAAATCTGCTGGGCTCGGTGTTGAGCCATCTGGGCTCCGCGCGGAAGCGGCTGCAGATGGATCGCAAGGTTGGATGGATATGGATGGATGGGAAATGATGGGCTAAATGTGATGGGAAATGTGACTGAAAAATATTTTGAGATGGTGGATAAAAAAAACACAACCAGATGGGTAGTGAAATATATGATTTTATATGGCAAAATAGATCATGAGTGCTTGGTTCTTGATGTGGAGTTTATGCGTAGTTGGTTCAATGCTATGGATTGATCGACGGTTTATGACTGCTCAGGTGGAGAAGGGGGTGGTGAAGGCTGTGATGAAGCCGAAGCTGCGGATGAAACAGCAGCTGACCAGACAGCGGGTGGCCAAAAGTGGAGAAGATGAGATGCCTGGATTTGCACGGAGTTTCAGCCATTTGTTCCTTTTTTTATGAAGCAGACATGAGAAATCTACCGGGGATTTTTTATTTAATACATTTTAATACATTTATATCATATATATAATATAATATATAATGTAATATATAATATAACATTGAAAATAATATAATATAGTATAATATATAATATAATAATATAATATAATATAATATAATATAATATATAATACTATATAATAATATGTAATGATTAATAATAATGTATAATGATTAATAATAATAATATATATATACATAATGTAATACATATATAATAATGATATATCATAGAATATATATAATATATATATATATATTATATTTATAACTATATATACATATGTATAATATATATATATAGATACTACTCTTTGTTTTGGACTTCTGGAAGCAAAATCCAAGGAAGGAAGCACTGGAATTGCGACTGGCTGAGCATTACTCTCACATGATGAATTTCATCCGCACGCGGGGGGAACCCATTTTGTTCTACCTGCCAGCGAAGCACAATGCGGAAACACAGAAATGTCTCGAGGAAACTCAGCGCACAATCCGCAGAAAGATTGAGATGCTGCCCACGCATCTTGGTGGAGGAGCTGCGGATGAAGAGGAGGAGGCTGAGGCTACTGAGGATTGATATCAGGATGCGGAGTGATAATGGCAACATGGCACGAGTTACAATGATATGCAGCGAACAGTCCTGTTCCATCCCTATCTGGGACCTTTGGGAACCTCAAGCGACTTCATTACGTTGTTTTTGGTGGGAACCAGCTTCCATGTCGTTTGATTTTATCCAGATGTTTGGAAGTGGTTAAACATGCTTAAACCTTCTTGGAACGTTTGTTTGTTGTCATTATTTATGTTGGCATCGGGGGTAGCTAAGCTCCCATTTTATGCTGAAAGATCCAGTTTGTTTGCTGTTTCTTTGACGTCCTGGCTTGAATCATTGTACCTCCTCCGGGCCGAAAAGGTGATTCCAGCGCCGCGGGATCCCAAAATCATAAACCACGGTCCGGTGGTGGTTTAAGTGAAGGATAGTGAAACGGTCCGGTGGGTTTTGGGGTTCCCATTTCAAGACACCCCAATAATGTATGTATATATATATATAGGATAATCATAACATATACTGAGTATACTGTGCATAAGAGCTTGGTGGTCAAGATGTTTCAAGTGTTTTGCGGAAAGTCCACTCTGGGACGATTCAGAGCCATGTTTTATTGGAATGGGTTGAATAGCAGCCACATAATAGCCATCATTACATTGTGAATTTTTGCATATTTCGCATCATATTTTTGCATAGCATGCACATTCTTTCTTTGGCTTTGTCGTTGTGGCCTGATTATGCACATGCCATTTAACCCTACAAGAGGATAGAAAGAATTTACCTCTATTCCAGTATGTTTATGATTTTTAATTTTCCCATCATTTTGAAAGCCATGAAGTTAGCCCAAACGCTTGGTATTCCGTTGAACATTTGGGTGTGTTTTAAGCTTTATATAATGGGGATTTATGGTGATTTAATGGGGGTTAATGGGATTAAATGGGGATTTAAGGGGATATAACTGACCAGCTTGATATGATGGGGTAGAATGGGATCAAACGCCTGGCCAGTTGGCACCAATGGCTCATGAGACGCATGAGAGATGAAGCACCCTTTTTGGTCACATGAGATGTGTTTATAATTTACATTAATTTACCATCTGGTTATTTAACAGTTTGCGAACTGGAGAATCACCACGCTATCGGGAGATCATCATGATCATCTATTTCTATGGACCATTTTCGACTGTTAACCAGAGGCTAACTCTTCGGAATTCGCCAAGAAAGGCCCTGCAGATTCTTCCAGCCAAAAAAACTCGGCGAGCCCCGATGATCGTGATTGGGATGGATTGCCAGGAATATCGAAGCCAAGTCATTTCAACATATTTCAACGATCACTGGTTGGTGGTTTGGAACATAAATGGATTATTTGTCCGTCTATTGGGAATTCCATCATCCCAACTGACTTTCACTCCATCATTTTTCAGAGAGGTAGGTTGAAACCACCAACCAGATCAGACACACAGACACTGACATCGGCTTTCCGTTGGGTGCCGCCAAGCCAACCTATCGATCATGACAGGTGCCCGATTTTCGGGGGTGATCGGGGAACGCCAATCGTTGGGTCCCAACGGTACCGCGTTTGTCGCCATGCCGATGATCCAGTTGTCATTGGTTGTTACAACTGATTTCGTGTTGGTTTTCTGTGCCCAGGTTTACTGTATCATACTGTATCTATATAGTCCAACACAGAAATCGATGGTATTTTTTTTTCGGACCAGTTCCAAGTTTGCTGATGTGCACCAAAAACACACGGATCCATGCCCCACAAGGAAATTTTTGAGCTTGGGGCAAAGCTTTGGATCCTACGACCAGAATTAGGGTTTCAAACTGTTTACATTAACGGTTACATCCACAATCATCCACTGGAAAGCGTTCCGAGAAATATTTGCACCCAAAAAAAACTCACATTGTAATTGTTACGCTTTTTCTGTACCCGGGTTTGTTGAATATCCATTTTCCTAGTTTCTATACCTATGCTTGCTGGGGATATAGATATATATATATACATATTTATAACGATATATGAGTTGGACTGTTGTGGGTATGACCCCACTAGTTGAATGACAACCACCTATACATTACTATACATGTATATGATAGTTAACGGATAATTAAAGATACTTAACAAGCGTTACACCAACAAATATATGTGCTTACCATGGTAAAAACTTGGGTTTGCACGGCCCATCTTGTAGGATGGTTAGACCATGCCCTGTAACTTCACCATGGCACATATGGCTGGAAATTTGATCGAAAAACCTAAAGCTTCGACAGAACCTTTAACATAGTTAAAGGAGTGACCATAAGGTTTCCTATCGTCTCTAATCGGTAGGGTTTCCGTTCTCGCAACATGGCCAACTGTTAGTGGGTGGAGGCCAGGTCAAAAAATCCTAAATCTCCATCAAATGATATAAATGGCTGCGAGTCGACCCATGAAACATCACGAAACATTGATGGATGGTTGAACCATGAAACACTTCCAGGTGTTTGACCTTCTCTCCCCATGTTCTCCAGGCAGATGTCGAAGCAGTTGGATTTTTAGGCTGGGAGAAGACCACAAACTGAAGAAGTGATGGGAAAAGTTAAGAATTGGTGAACACATAGGAAAACATTATATATATATCCATTTATATATATATATATATTCATAATGTGTATATATATTATAATATTATATATATTGTACATAATATATATTATACATATTACATATTTTATCCTAATGCATATATATATATACAATATTATACACATACTATATTATACATATATTATATAATATACAATATACTATATATTACATATTATATATATTATTATTATATGTATATATATGTATAATATATAATTCAATATATATTATACATATTGTATGTATATATATGCATAATATATAATCATATATATATATATATTGATAGTTGCATTCCCCATGGACATGTTGCCGGAAGTTGGGAATTGGGTGTGTTTGTAATTGGAGGACAACTCAATTCATGGCCATGTTGACGCGAAATGTTCAACTGCTAGAATTTTGTGATAGTCTATGTTGGACAAAGCCGTTAGGGCAAAATTGCAACCTTCAAGTTTTCAACAAGGAAAAGGGTATTTTTATGTATTTGTCCAGACTTGGCTTGAAGGAACAATTACTGGAAAGCCCAAGATTTGATTAAATCAATCCATTGATATTTGACCCTGGGGTGACCAGCAAAAAGTGTTTGTTCTCAGCAACTAGTAACTAGTGTAGGAGTTGACAAACTTGAGGAATTCACACGGAAACAGGTGACTTTGGCCAATGCTTATCCCAAGAAGGTACAAGACCGGAAGACCATCATGGTTCAGAAGAACATCATCTTCCTCGTTAGAGTAGGCAGTTTATTTATGTTTATTTATATATCTCATATATATATACCATATCAAACAATATATAGACCATTAGTTCATTTACATATTATATATATATTATATATATCATATATATATATATATCATATATATATATATCATATATATATATATCATATATATATCATATATATATCATATATATATATATATCATATATATATATATATCATATATATATATCATATATATATATCATATATATATATATCATATATATATATATCATATATATATATATCATATATATATATATACATACATGTATCATATATATATATAATAGATATACTACATCTAATACTACTACTATAGACCATCATTGGCCCAAATGGGACCTTCAACTTGCCCGTGGCTTGCCGGTGAAGTTGGGATGATCATGGATATTCCCAGCTTGCTTCCGCTGAGGATCTCAGTATCTCTTGGATATTCCCATGAATTCATATTGAAGAGATATGGAAATGCTATGGAAATGTGGGGCCATTGATTACCCTCATGGTAAATTAATGGTTAATAATGGCTAATAATGGCTATTCATGGTCATTAGTGGGTTATTCTCTGGTAAATTAACAGTTGGACCCTGAAAATAGCCATTGTTTAGTGGAAACTAATCTTCCCCTCCTAATGTACTGCCAGGGTCTATGTTAATTTACTGGAGGGTATCTTAATTAATGGGAATATCATGATTTATAGTAATATAAGAGATTTATCATTATCAATTATCGCATATATTAATAATTGGGAATATGATGATATATGAAGCCAGATATATCTCATGATGATATATGAAGCCAAATATTATAGGAATATGATATTGATCCATGATATTGAAGAGATACTGAGATTCATATTGAACCCAAATTAATTATGGGATATTATGGTAATAAATACCATAATATTATATAATTATGAAATATCATGATATTGCCATAAATCATTAATTATGGCCCATTCTTTCCCATTAAAAGCCTGACTTTTTTATTGGAGAACTATGACCACTGGATGGCTTGCTTCAACGTAGGGCATGCCCACTTCCGACTACCAGGGCACCAGTCATGTTTTTCTGGGGTAAACCTCCATTAATAGAGATATTCCCAGTAAAACCAATATTTGTAGATGATTCTCCCATATTTTTTCCATATTGTCCTATACTTTCCCATGACACCCTCCATTTTTGAGCGGGTGTTTGACCGGGCCGTTGAGCTGCCCAGGCTAAGCTTGTGTGCGTTCTCCTTGCCATTGCGTCTTGGGCAAGCGCTTGGTTGTTGGAACTGCCGACGTGGTCTGGAACAACATCTACGAGCTCATGATGCCCTTCCTCATCATAATCGTAATAGTAATAGCCATTGAAGCATTGTACTAGCAATAGTAATAGTAACACTAATAGTAACAGCAAAGATAATAGATTTAATCGTAATATATAGTAATAGTGGTAGTAATAGTGGTAGAATGATAGTATCAGTCACTAAAGGGAGAAGTCCCAGGTTGCAGCGCGGGGCTGACCCACCTGGCCTAGCCCAAGTGGGATCTCCTAGCCAGGCGCTGTGGGGGGGTTGCGGGAGGCATGGGAGATCCTATGCCAATATCAGTAGATGTACTGAGCATCAAATAGTAGATACCCTTCATGACGGGCCCCGCAATTTATGAACAGATCCAGTACTGAACACGTGTTTCGAGTGGGGGAAATTAGTTCTAGGGAGAAGGGAGAAGGGTCAAACTCCTCAGCCAATAGATTCATGTTGTTTGAAATTGGGTATACTCTGATTCTTGGGATGATTATTTTCATAGCCCCATGGTTGAAAATTGGGGGAATGGTTTCCTGTGGATCTCACATGACAGTTCTTGGCGAACACTCTGTGCAAAGAGCGGCTTTGAAAGATGATTTCCAGGTCTTGCTGGAGAGGAGAAGCCAACTGCAGGCTGGACATGGCTGGACGCTGATGATTTGTCATCCCAGAATCATATTGCT